GGCAAGAAACAAAAATAAAAATAAAGGAAAATGTGTCACCTTAAAGCTAACTGCTGTATTTTAATGTGAGCTTTCAGGGATTAACTCCACTTCCTCAGACACATAATATCACCATATCTGAGAAATGGTAAACAAAAGCAATACTAAAAACACATTCAAAGCAGTAAGACATAGCAATCCATTTAAAAATGCCACCTAGGCAATCCCACTTCCTTTCACTGAGGGAAAGCTTGCCTGAAGAGAAGTCTTTCCCTGTTTGTTGAAGGACAGTGAAGATGCGGCCAGTCTGGCCTCTTGTGGGAAGGACTTCCAAAGTCTGGGAGCAACAACAGAGAAGACCCTCTTCCTGTGTCCCCATCAGATGCGCTTGTGAAGGTGGTGGGACCGAGAGAAAGACCTCTCCCGATGATCTTAGCATCCAAGCAGGCTCATAAAAGAAGATGTGGTCCTTGAGCTAGCTTGGACTCAATCCATTTAGGAACCTATACGATGTTCAGTGCAAAATTACAGAAGTCATGCAAAACCAGCACATTCAATTGTACCCTGAAACAGATCAGTAGCCAGTGCTTATGACCTTCATGTCAATGTTTTTATAAGAGATTTTTGTCATGCTTAGAAACATCTGTGGGTTTCACAAAGCAATTCCTTTGCTATTAGAATTGATCTCCTGACCTGCCTTTCGTTGGTGGTCTTCTTGAGTCTTAATAAGCTGAGGAACAGGTGCTGCAGTGGAATCAAATATGAGTTTTTGGCACATGTAGGACTTGCTGACCTATAGTTTTGAAAGACTGGCGCTTTTGTTTTAGAACAATGTTGACGATATTTGTCCAAGTAATTTCTTTTTAAAAGCCAGGAAAGGCCATCTTGTTGGCTCCTGTTTAGAGATTCCCAGCCATTCCATCGTGGTTTAAACAAAAATGTAGATGTAGATTCAGTTGAAATTGTAGTGTGGTGATCCGGGCACCTGCTACAGTTGTTGTGGACAATTTTTATTGAAGATCAGGGAAAAGAGAATTATTGGCGTGGGATCAACAGCTAAGAGAAAACTTCAAAAACAAATTGTGTTGCTACTTTCCAGTAAATGTAGCTCTCTGGCCACAGGGTGCCCTGGTGACGGGAAGCCAGGGGTGGTTAATGTCTCTTTCAAAGTGGTTTCAGGACAATACATAGTTAAGGCTGGATAAAATATTGCATGTGTTGTAACAGACTACCTTTTGTTTTCCTCCATGCGGGAGGTTGGAATTTTTTGCTCCTGGTTAGCAATGCCTTCAGGTGGGCAGAATTTTTAGTAGGGTTTATATGAAATGTTGTAGAACTTCTCATAGGCATCCTTCAGTCTCGAAAGACTATGGTAACATGCTCTGAATTGAGTGTCCCCTCCAGAGCATGAAGCCTGGGTAAAGTAATATGGGGGATAGGCTGTTACCCAAGCAGCAGATTCCCCCTCTCCACGTTGCTAAAATGGTCCAATGGAAAGGCAAGAGCCAATACACCTGGTTCCAGCAATGTGGCAGGAGTTCGCAGAACGACAAGAACTGCCTTCGGGACTCCAGCTCCAGATTTTGCCTCTAGGTTAACTCCTGAAGCCTTTTCCATGAATGGATATAGCCACAAGGCAGTGGAGGTTTGTAATCAGAGTTTTCCTTCTCCTAGATGGGCTGCCTTCCCAGGCTAAGGAGCCCCACCTACCCGGCAGAACTTAAACGGCTGATTTGTCATAGTTGCAACACATTAAGTGCAGAATTGTCTGGTACAGAAGCTTGTTTTGTATCATCTCACTTCATTTCACTTAAATGTTGACTGAAATAAGCATTCAGAAATGATTTCCTTCCTTTAGGAATTGTTGCTTTAAAGCATACAGCGAAATTACAGGCTCATCTATTAACTCATCACTTGTTAACAGTTATATATCTCTGCATGCCAGTAATGTCTGCAGCCTTGAGAATGTAGTCTTAAATTCACTTACTAGAATGTAAGCGCCCACTGAAACCAGTGAGAAGACATGCCTTCTAAGTAGACACCCAGGTTGTACTGTAAGCATTGTTATTAAATCAGCATGGTGCAACCAAAAGTGCAAAGTACATAACCTAATGTTAACTAAGTTAGTGGAAAAAAGCAATATTTTAAAAGTACTGAACATGTCAGTAGAAATTTTGCTTGCATAAAGCATACTTATACAAAATTGACTTTTTCCCCCTTTCAGACTAGCCTTGGTCAGTTTTACCACTTGCTCTAAAGATAAACCTCCTGGTTCTGGTAACATCATTCTTAAAAACATGTTTTAATATGATTTTTCTTTTAATATTTTTAGTATTTTCAAACTGTGGATAAGTGAGTCAGTGGATACAGATCCCATACATAAGGAGGACTTACTGTACATTTATAATTCAGACAAGTATCCATTATTTTTAATAGTGGCATCAATGCATGGTATAAGATGAAGGGTAGTAAAAAAAATTCTCTTGAAGGGAATTGTTTAACTATAGGACAGTATCTTTTAAAATTAATATATGAAAATTATTGTTTTAACATCAAGTTATTAGAGATGTTTTTAATGATAGTGCTTTATTTTATTCAATATTCTTCTTCTCAAAAAGTAGAGCTGAGAGTGCTCTCTTCATCCATTCCACCCACATTAATATAATCACTGTGCATAATATTGTTATATTTTTATTTTCTTTAGCCTCTTGGAACTTCTGCAGCTGCATAAGATGGTTTGAATTTGGTATTTCTCCCATATGCTTCAGCATACACAGCTGGAACAAACATTAAGTTGTTTACTTCACCTGAGGAGAACTTGAAGGCAAAAATGAAAACAGTTTCTGAAAGGAAGGGATTAAAAATAAATAAATAAATAACTTAAGTAACCAAATTTAGCCATCTCTTAAAACAAGCTGTTACTTCTTGCAAAGAATATGGATGGCATTTGAAAGGGGAAAAGCTGTAGAAATACGGAATATACCCAGAGCTTTTTATCTATTCGCAGCAGGAATTTTTTATTTTGTTGACATGACCCATCTTTTGCCAGCCACAATGCCACTGAAATAATCCAAAAATGGAGCAGGTGGGAATATACTGTCTACTGTAGCTTTCTGTCTGCCTTTTCCAGAAAGCTACTCCTTCGGCACATGGGCAAGACATTGCTAGGAATTGCTCAGGTCATCAGCCAAGAACACTCTGGGCCAAACCCATGTCTGGAATAAGGACTGCGATGCTGTCTGAGTCAGAGGCTTCAAGGGCTGACCTCACCACTTTGAACAGAAGGAACAGTTATTCTTTTTGAAAGTGGTCAGGCCTTAGCATCTGCTTAAAATGCCTTTCCCACTTTCTCTCAGAAAGCAAAGGTGGTTGTGGGCATACATCAATCTAACCTTATATTTGTGGATTCTCCTTGCATAACCAAACAATGCTATTTTGTTGATATCCTGTGGTGAAATGATTTGTTTTGTTTTGTTTTTCTACGCTTGGGAAAAAAAACCCTACAAAATCAAGAGTGTAGATTAGAAATAATGAAAATCATGAAGTTGGAAGGGGCCTATGAGGCCATCGAGTTCAACCCCCAGCTCAATGCAGGAATACAAATCAAAGGATATCTTCCAGGTGGTTGTCTAAGTTTCTCTTGAATACCTCCAGTGTTAGAGCACTCACTACCTCTTGAGGTAATAAGTTCAGTTGTCATACTGCTCTAATAGTTGGGAGGTTTTTCCTCATGGTCAGTTGAAACCTGACTTCCTGTAACTTGAGCCTATTGTTGCATGTCCTGCACTTGAGATGTTTGAAAACAGATCCCGCCCCTCCTTTGTATGGCAACCTTTCAGGTATTTGAAAAGTGCTATCATATCTCCCCTCAATCTTCTTTTCTCAAGGCTAAACATGCCTATTTCTTTCAGTCGTTCCTCATAGGGCTTTGTTTCCAACCCCCGATCATCTTTGTTACCCTTCTATGAACTTGTTCCAATTTGTCATTTTGAAGTACTGTATGGCACCCAGAACTGGACACAGCACTCAAGATGAGTAAAAAAAAAGCTTTGTTCTATCCCCAAATCTTTCCAGACACTTTCTTTGCAAAGAAAATGTTTTGACATTTTCCCTTCTAGTAGCCAATCTTGGTTACTTTGAGAATGCAAAGGGGAAAACATGATGATGACATATCATCTGTGAATGAAGTATGTAGGCTATAAGAAAGGAAAAGCTCTTCCATTAAATGAAAACCAGAAGTAGTGAGTAAGGAACTGAGCAAAAACTCTGTAATGTTATGCCTTGCAGGCAGTTGCCTAATGTGCTAGAATGTCGGTAAGCTTTTTAACATAGACATCAGCTACTGTCACCTGGAAGTTCTCTAATATGGACTAAGGTTTCAAAGCAGGTATATTTATGCGCGGGATGCAGCAGTACAGAATAGAGGGATTCTTCTGAACTGAAGTTGCAGTATTTTTGCTGGGTACATGCATGCCATTGCAGGTTGGTTTACAGCCGATATAAGTAGCATCCTACCCTGTCCATCACTAGGTAGCTTATTGTTGAATGTATGGACTAACTTCGCTGGAAAGCTTTGTTTTCTGGTGTTTAAACTATGAGTCCTTGTGCACTTATGTGGATTCAGACATGCTTGTTTTGTGGTGCTTTTTCATTATTCCTTCTGAGTTAGGCATTAAATCCTGTATACAATACGACCTTCATACAGTATCTGCTGCACAGATGCTGAAAACGTGTATAATAGTGAACCATATACATGGCATAGTCTCTGGCTCCAACTAGTGGCTGGTTCGGATAATCACATCATGGAAATACCGATTTCTGGGTTTTTTCTTTTTATGTTTTTATTATTTTCAGACTTCACTTAAGTGAAGCCATGGACACTGACCCCATGGATAAGGGGACCTGGTTGTACTTTCATTCCTGTCTCAAAGGCTCTGTGAGACTTTTTCTTTCCCCCATATACATGTCACACCTCTGCTCCTGTGTTTCCAGTTTTTTACTTTGGAATATTTGTTTTCCAGGAAGGAAAGAAGAAGTTTGACAAGGAAAGTGAGAAGTATTATTCCACTCTTGAAAAGCATTTAAATTTATCGGCAAAGAAGAAGGAGTCACACCTGCAAGATGTAAGCTTTTATTGTTGGGTTTTTATTTTCATTGTAAAGTAGGTAGAGCAGAAATACGGGCTTCTGTTGTGGGATTTAAAACATATGTATTGAAGCTAAATGTTCCAAGTCAAAATAAACTTTGCATTAAGGAAGTGCTTATGTGATTTTATACTATAAATGTGAACTGAACTTTATTGCTGTTGCCTTTATAAAATGGCTATTTTTAGCTCTGCATCTGCCTTTTCTTGCCGTGAATGTGTTTTATGGTGACTTTTGATTTGATGTTTTATAAGCTACCATGACAAATTTTATTGCAGGACAGTATATGTTTAAAAATAAATACAATTTAGTCTTTGCTTGTCAAGTTATTGTGAAAACTTAAGACCAATGGATTTGGTACCATTAACATTTTCATGTTCTGCTTGATTTAGGATCTGATTATGTGATAGAATATAATACTTGAAATATTTTCCATAACTTCAAAACTCAAATCTGGAGTTATTTGGAACACTTTCACAAACATTTTTTCCACTTCTTGTCTTCTTTTCCTAAAACAGAAATTATTTTCACCGTCATATAATACGTATATAGTTTTGTTTAACTTAAGTTGGAAACAGAACACCATTTATGATGTGAAAATAAATTGCTAAATGATTTGTTTATGAATGTTTAATGTGATTTTCAATTCCACAGACACATTTATCTGTAAAAATCTATTTAATAGTTTCTTCTGTGCATAAATTATCTTCTGTTCAAGGAGCTTTTCTTTTTTTAATACTTGCAACAGAAGAATATAATAACAGATAGAAAATGTCATTGCTTTACTTCCTGTTGTTCTTCACTGATAATTTGCTAACACAAGGCAAGGGTAGAAGAGTCTCCACTGAGGTTTATGGAATGTTGCCCAACACTTCTCCAAAAAAATGGGAGAGAAAATGCTAGGTGAAGTGTGTCTATTGGGAAAAGGTTAATCCACTTCACATTTCTAGGACTTTTGCCATGTTTGCCTTTAAAAAGTCTTCATAAATACACACAGCAAACTCAAAACATATTTTTTTTCTGCTTAGGTAGTCTACCATTTTACCAACCCTGACAAGACCTAATATATCAGTCTTCTTAGCAGATCATGATCTATTGGTCCAGGCAGTCTAGTGTTGTCTACTTTGACTAGGAGTAACTTTCAGCAGCAGAGAGCAGGGTTTTTCCCCATCATTGGCTTCCTGATCCCTAGTAAATTAGAGATTTCCAGAATTGGAACTGGGCTTTTGCCATAGATCAAAGAGATGAGGAGGGGGCAGTAGCTGAATTATACATTTTTAGAAGGCCCTGAATCGTTTAGGTTCAGCATTGCCAGCATCTCATTTGTTATTACTTACTCCTGTGTAGGTAATAAATGAAATTCACCAATTCCATGTATACGATGATACTTTTCTCTAACATATTTAGATTAAAAATTTAGGGTCGTCTTATTCACAAAAGTAAGGAGGGGGGAGGGATCAAAGCGCTTTGATCCCTGCTTATCCCCTTCCACTTTTTGTGAAGAAAGTGTACGGGGAAAGTGCTTTCTTGCCAGGAAACTGAAGGGGGGAAAGCACTTTCCTCAGAAGATAATAAAGCATTTTCCTCGCAAGAAAGCGCTTTCTTGCAAGGAAAGTGTTTTTCCCCTCCACATTCCTCACAAGAAAGTGCTTTCCCCCTTCCACTTAATTCCAAAGAAAGAAATTCTGTGTTAGAAAAGTGGTGGTGTTCTTATACGTGGGGGCGTATTATAAACAGAAATATACAGTATATACCACCCCATTAGTGCAGGCACTACTCTGGGCAGTTTATAGGTTAAAATGTAAAGCCTTCAAGACCCCATACAACAAACATGCATTCAGAAACAACATGGCAATACACACAAGAGTAATTAAACCATAAATATAAATCACTCTATAATCTAAAATTCTTATATTAAGAAATTGAACAGCATCGATTGTTAAAGGCAGCTTTAAAGAATGATGTCTTTACCAGTTTGCTGAGCATGAAGAAGAAGTAGCCTGGTTTATCTCTGTTGCTAATTTGTTCCAGAGACTGGGGCCACCACTTAAAAGGCACAACTCCTTGTAGTCATCTTTTCGGCCACCTTTCATGTTGACACTTTTAATAACATGGGTTGAGAGGAGCAGGTACAATGGGTAAATGATTTCTGGGAGAGATGTTCCAACAAGTATTGAGGCCCTAAGGGCTTTATAGTTTATAACCAGCACCTTGAATTGAGCAGAAAACTGACAGGGAGCCAATGCAGGCATGCCAAGACTGGGGATATATAATTGTTTTTATTATCTGCCATCATCAGTCTTGCTGCTGCATTTTGGACCTGCTGAAGTTTCCATGCTATTTCAAATAGAGTAGTCTATTAAAGTTGTCTGGTTTTGAGATTACCAATGTGTGAACTACTTTTGTTAGGTATTTCTTATCCCAGTAGGGATGCAACTGGCCATTCAACCAAAGCTGATAGAAGGCCCTCTTGGCCACAACAGATATTTGAACCTCCATAAAGAGTTCTGGCTCTAAGAGGAGTTCTCCCAAGCTGTAGTCCCAGCCACTCAGGAGGAGTGTATTCTCATTGAGGCCAGATAATTTTTTTTTCTAATTAGTACAGGAGGATCTCCTTACAGGAGGATCGCCATCCTATCTGGACTCAGTTTCAGTTTATTGGCCTTCATCTAGTCCATTATTATTGAAGTTACATGATACTCAATCATCACTCGCAGATGAAGAAAAAAAGAGAAGTAACTGTGTGTCACCAGTGTACTAGTGACAGTGAGCCACAAATCTCTGTGTGATTTCTCCCAGTGCCTTCATGTAAAATTTAAAAAGCACTGGAGAGATAAGTCAACCCATGGATGTCCCAGGGAGGTAGAGATGGCATCCCCAAGCTTTGCCATCATGAGTCAGACGTCAAGAAAGGACTGAATCCACCAAATAACAGAACCCTCAACCCCTAAATTTAATAGTAAATGCAGAAGGATACTCTGGTCGATGGTTTCAAAGACTGCAGAAAGATCCAGAAGGACCAACAGGATTACACTCCCGCTTTCTCCTTCCCATAGAAGATGATTTTGCAAGGTGACCAGTGCTGTTTTAATGTCATGCCATGGTCTAAACCTCAATGGAAATGGATCCAGATTATCAGTTTCTTGCTAGAACTCATGAGAGTTAGAACACACTCAATTAACTTGCCCAAGAAAGGAACATTTGAGATGGGTCTGTAGTTGTTCAAATCATCCATCCATCACTAAATTTGTTTGCTTAAGAATTGACCTTACTATAATATATTCTTTTAAGTAGGAGGACACATGGCCTTCTTGAAGAGAAGCATTGATTCCATGGGTGGCCCATTTGACCATAGTATTCTTGGTGAATTTTAAAAGCCAAGATGGGCAAGGATTTTAAAAAGAGGTAGTAGCTCTACAGCATGTTTTACCTTGCCAACATCCTCAGACCACGTGGCAGAACTCAGTATGCAACAGATAGTGTCCATGCACTAGCTAGTATCAGGTGGGCAGTGAGATTAACATCAGTGTTAAGCTAGCATAAAAGCTCGATAGAATTTTTACCATTGATTACTCAAAGTTGTGGTTTAGATCAATAGAATTAAGTACTAGTGTTGTTCTTGATCTAGAATGAATCCATTTTTATAGAAGGGCAATTCCAAGATTTATTTCTCAAAATGTAGTATACAAACCATTTCACTGAAAGACAGTTATATATACAGTAGTAGTAGAACTATATTTTTGTCTTCAGCTTAGACATATAAAACTATGAAAAAAAAGAGTCAGGTGCATAGCTATCTTATTCATTGACTGCCGCCTAGCTGTCTTTTTCCACAACATATACAGATTCTTTAAAAAGGATGCTTTAAAATGTGACAGTTGTTGAAATGTTTAAAGAGTGGTGGAAATAACTGCTGTAAGCTAGCAGGATCTGCCATGTGCTCTGCCAGTTCAACAACTGACTAACCCAAGTATGATGCTAAAAATTCTGACCATTGAATTTAGTACCGTATTTGCCGGCGTATAAGGCAACTTTTTTTGGCCCAAAAAACATGCCTCCAAATTGGGGGGGGGGGTTCGTGTTATACGCCGGGGGCACTTCAATTGGGCCAGGAAGGAGCCGCCACCGCCGTTGAGTGACTGACGCGGGGCTGCGCCGGTTGGGGAGGAAGGCACGCGGGCAGGCAGGCGGTCGGTCTGGACAGAGGGAGGGAAGCAGGGCTGGCCATGCCTGAGGGGCCAGAGCCCACCGCCAGACAGCCGCTTCCCCTCCTCCTCCGCTGCCACCACCTGCCCAGCCACTTCCCCTCCTCCTCCGCTACCGCCATCCGCTCAGTCACTTCCCCTCCTCCTCACCCTCCTCAGGCCTCATTGCCGGCCATGAACTTCCAGGGTGGGCCCAGGCAGAGCCCCGGGCAGCTGCTGCCAGCACCGCAGCAGAGCCATCCACTCTATATTTTGAGTGGAAATGTTGGGGGTCATCTTATACGCCCAGTTGTCTCATACGCCAGCAAATACGGTACTCAGTTGTCTTATACACCAGCAAATACGGTACTCGTGGGATTGGAAAGGAACCAAAAATCATATCATCTTCCTTTCCCTATGCAAGTGATTTTTGGTTGGGAACACAGTGTGCCAGAAAAAGTAAAGAGATGCACTAGAGAAAGCTTCAGGTGACCTAAAAGACTAAGCAACCATGTTCTGAAGAAATGTAGACCCAATTCAAACATCTCACTGGGCCAGCAAGAGTTTCAGAGACAGGAGAGTGAAATCCCTCTCAGCATGACATACGTATAGCCTTTCAAATCTACGCAGTGTTTTTAATCACAGTTGGGGCTGAATACATGAAGGGTTGCGTACAAAGTCATCTATGATTCGACTATCCTTTGAAGAGGTTCTACCAATTAATTAATCATACCTCCTCTGATTAGATGATCATGTCAGTCAAATAATCTGTGATTTAACAGATGGAAACAGATCCATTAGCCTATATCAATGTTTCTCCATTGTGGAAACCCTTTGTCTTGTATTAATGACAATGATCTAATAATAAAATGTTTTAAGCTCTATTATGACTTAACGTTACTTTTTTCAGGCAGATACCCAGATTGACAGAGAACATCAAAATTTCTTTGAAGCATCATTAGAATATGTCTTTAAAATTCAAGAAGTACAAGAGAGAAAGAAGTTTGAATTCGTTGAGCCTGTAAGTTGATGCTAATGAAAGTACAAATGCATTCACGTACCTACAACACATAACATTGTCTAAGCTGTATGACCGTTTTGTGCCATTATGTCTGTGTTACATTTCCTTCCATTAAATCAGTTCCTTTCTTTCGAATCTGTGGTTCAACTCTTCAAGCTTTAAACCCTCTTTGAATTCTCTGCTTTTTGCCATTGGGACCCTATAGATTAGCTGTGGAGATAATGTACATTGGGAAGGTCTCTTTTTTTGTTCAATTAAAGCTACTTGTCTGCTTTTTTCTTTCTACAATGCAGATGTCTGTGGAGAAAAAAACACCAGCCATAACTATAATTTCTCATTTGCCATCTCATACCAAGCCACATTTTGTGCAAAGCTCAGGTGCAGCACCACTATCCCCTTTCAAACTGAAACTTCACTTTCTGATCATGAATCACTGTCTGCTCACAGAAACCCTGTTTTGATAGCTCAGAGATCATGCTAAGGCACAGGGTAGCTTTCTTAACCCCCATGTGATGTCTCCTCAGCTGAGCCAAGCTGTCTTCTGCGCAACCTATATGCACTTAACAGTGTATTCTTGTGAGGAGTTCTTGATGAACTTTGCAGGAACTCTGTGGTTCCTTAGGAACATGGTTCTTGAAAACTTCCAAGTTATGCCTGTAGAAAATGCATTTAAAGTGGAATATATTAGTTAATTACAGGCAGGAATTTAATATTAGAAGCTATTGAAAGTTTGGCCTCAAGAATAACCTCAGTTTCTTAAATGCTCATGTAAAAGGTTTCTCTTTTGGAATGAAATTGCAAATGATTTGCCATCTATCTGCATGACATTTTAATGACTTGCACTTAGTAATGTTGTCTGTGCAACACATGACAAGTATTTCATAATGTAAAAATTGGCTCAAAATGCCTAACCACGACAGTAGTCTTCAAACTTCAATAAATCTATTCAACCCTTTCTTTAAAAAGCAAAAGAAAGGAGGCGTATAGAAATTATATTACTATTTGTTTAAAATGGAACTGTTGTAAACAGAGCAGTGACTGACAACATATGCTTTACCCTGACTCATTGGGGCTGCAGTTCTTTATACGTTTCTCTGGGAGCAATGTTCCCTCTAAGCTGTGTCACTGCGTGGAACTGGATCGGGGCCATATAGCCAAGACAGGGTTGCCACCCATTTGCTTCCAGACACATCTGGAACCCCGTGCTAGCGGAAAATTAGAGGGGATATTGCCAGGAAGTAAATCCAGTTGAACCTGATCGGTCAGTCTTTTGAGCAGAGACCGATTCATGCTGTAACCTTCATTTCGGTGCACGGTTGTTTAAAAGTGAACTTGGTACCTTATGGTGCTTGAGCAGTCAACTCTGGACTCTGTGTAGGACAGAAGGCTTTGACTGTAAGATGGACGTTGTTGTTTAGTTGTTTAGTCGTGTCTGACTCTTCGTGACCCCATGGACCAGAGCACAGTCAGGCCATCTTGTCTTCCACTGCCTCCCAGAGTTTGGTTAAATTCATGTTGGCGGCTTCGATGACACTGTCCATCCATCTCGTCCTCTGTCTCGTCCCCTTCTCCTCTTGCCTTCACACTTTCCCAACATCAGGGGCTTTTCCAGGGAGTCTTCTCTTCTCCTGAGATGGCCAAAATATTGGAGCCTCAGCTTCAGGATCTGTCCTTCCAGTGAGCACTCAGGGTTGGTTTCCTTTAGAATGGATAGGTTAGTTCTCCTTGCAGTCCAGGGGACTCTCGAGAGCCTCTTCCAGCACCACAATTCAAAAGCATCAATTCTTCGGCAGTGTAGGAAAAATGAGTTACTAAAGCAGAGCCACATCCAGAGTGGAACTGAGGCTATCCTTCCTGTATGACGTTATGATACCGCCTGAGCATTTACCAAAGCAAATATTCCTGGCAGAAGTGAATATATTTGTGTGTGAAAAGAAAGTTAAACACATTTCCAAAGAGAAACTCTTGGCCTTGTTGTGAACTGGAGAAATAAATGGTAAAGGACAGACTAGTTAGAAAGCCCCAGGTTTAATACTTTGCTTGCTTGCTCAAATATATCTGGAAAAGACCTCAGTCTGAAACTGTAGTTGGTTAGTGTAGACACGTGATCTCTGGAGTCAAGTTGATTCCAACATGAGGTGACTGTAGCATAATTTCTGAGATATGCGAGATATTTAAGGATTGGTTATACTGGTACTACTTTCGCCCCCATGAGATTCCATAGCCAAGTGAGAATTAAAACCCACATCTCCCGAGTCACACTCCAACTCTCTACCCACTACACTACACTGGTTTTCAGAGTAAATCATTCTTAGAAGCTCCTTTAATGAGTATTAACCTTTGTCCTTCCATGCAGCCCAGATGTAGGGCAGAGGCCAGACTCTGTAAGAATCATCCTATACAGTGGTGCCTCACTTAACGAGCGCATCGTTTAACAATGAATCTGCATAGCGACACATTTTTTGCGATCGCATTGCGATGTTTTAATAGGCAAAACATCGCATTGCGATTTTCGGTAAACGTTTCGCTTACCGATCTTCGCATTGCGATGTTTTGAAAACAGCTGATTAGCTGTTCCAAAATGACCACCGGGTGCAGAAAATGGCCGCCCGCAGCATTTTCGCGCCCTGCCCTCGCTTACTGGGCGGCGAAAATGGCGGCCGGATGGAGGATTCCCTGCATAGCGGTGAGTTTTTCCCCAATAGGAACGCATTAAACAGAGTTTAATGCGTTCCTATGGGTTCCCACCCGCATAGCGACGAATCCAGATAGCGACGTTAATCCTGGAATGGATTAACGTCGCTATGCGAGGCACCACTGTATATCCAGGCAAGCTATGAGAACTACCTCATCCTCACAGCTAGGAAAAGTTATTGTTTCTTATTGTTGTGGTAGTGGTGATGGTGGTTGTATCTCTTTTTAACATTTGACAGGATCTGCCAGCCCATGGGATGATGCTGGCTGGAGAATTCTGGTAGGTGTAGTCCAGAAATGTAATTTCTCTAAGCTGTGACCTGAATGGACCTGAGTCTGCCTACTGCTTAAACTCTTTGTCAAGAGTTTAAAAAGTCTCCTGCCCCTGGAGTACAACTCCCAGCCATCTTGGCCGCTGTAAATAATTTTTCCAACCAAGAAATTAGAATGAGCAAACATGGCAAGCCTGGGGAGGCAAAAAAAAATTGTACTCATGAAGTGCTGTACCGGACTTAAAAAGTAGGGAAGGATTGTAAACCCACCCACCCACCAACAATCCCCAAACTGGAAATTATTGGACATCTGCTGATGTTGTATTTTTTGCTTTGGGTTTGAGTTTCTGTTTTTGTTATTGTTTTTATTTATTTTATTATTATTATTTTGGCAAAGTGATGTTAGTGGTGGCTATTTTTTGTCCCAGATTTTTTTTATTTGTTTGTTTTTAGCTCTGAGCGGAATGTGCTGGGGACAATGCCCGTAGTCCATGGGACCCTCCCTACTGTAGATGGGCCGGTCATCTGATTCACATTCACACCAAGAAAAACTCTCCTACATAGCCGTGTTCCTGAACTCTGTCGAATTGTTAATTTTGTTTTTAGCAAAGCACTAGCGCACTGAGCAGCTGCAGATGCTCTGAGAGAGAAAAAGAAGCAGCTCAGATGTTGTTTGGCATTCTGGAGAAGAGCTATTTTGTATGTGCTGTAAAAATAATCCTATTCATGTTTAGGTATCAGCTGGTGTCACTGTGTTAGTATTTCCTGATAAAATATAGTCACCCTGCTCAATTTGTACCGTGACAAAAGCAGTCCACAACTAGAATAAATAACAATGAATGAAAGGGTTGTTTTAATTTGATACCCACAAATTTGCATAGCACTCAAAATAGATAAACAGGAGTGTGTTTGTACACAGGGACCTTTCAGATTTGTTCTTTGGGTGACAAATCCCACAATTTGTGAGCCAGAACTGGAGTTATTGAGAAGTACTGCATTTGAACTGATACAAACATGGTAGCTACTTGCAACCATGCATTCACATGTGCCATTCACAACTTCATGCTAACAGCTATCAAGCAACAGACGTGCATGATAAGCAAAAGAAACACACTGTTGGAAGATCTCAAAAGTAGAGCCAAAATTATATAGTTAGCATTTCTTGCTTCCCCTTATCAAACAGTTTGGTGAATCAATTCAGATCTATCAATTTAATGCAGTTCTAACAATGACTCTGTTAGCAGCTGGGCCACAGAGATTCCAGCAAGCAAAAAGACAGCATCCAAAGCCTGCAGGAGTCTTTTATTTATTTTTATGTAGTGTTGGTGACCCTGAGATTGTTTGGTCATCTCATTCTCACAGGAAGAAGATTGCACTTCCATTTGGATAGGGTAGGAATTTGACCTCCAGCCTTCAATTCATCAGCCAAGAAGTTACTGTCTTCCTGGTTCAGTTTTTAAAGGAAAATAACATTAGAGATAGCACAAATAATAGTAGGGATATCCAGTTTTAAAATTGTCGTGTTGGTAGTCTCTAATACAAGAGAGAGAAAGGAAATTTCTGGTTTTTACACAATGTAATTGGACTAGCTGTTTACTACAGCTGTAGCTGCCATAGGAACTTGCTCAATTGCCACATTATTTTTTGTAGAAAACACATGGTTTAAACAGCTACATTAACAGGGTGGTTTTAATAGGTGCAGGTTTTCCTGGCTTTGAGCTGCAGTAATAAAAACAGATCCTCCTATTGAGCCGGGTGTGTTTTGCTTTTTATCTTCCCTAGATAGGGAAGGTGAAAGATGACTATAGCAGGCTCCTTATCCAGTAGCTAGCTGAAGGAGCTTCTAGTGGCATTTTGACTAGGGATCTGGTGATACTGGAAGTGTGGGTCTCTCCAGCATCATCCATCCTATACAGGCATTCAGGATAATCTACCCTCCTGCCCTTAAAAGGTTTATGATTCCTGGTCCAAACTGTGACTAATGGTTTATTGAAATAAGACAATTTCATAAACAAAGGTGTGAAGTTAGCTTCTTTCAATAAATCGTAGGTAAACTAATCATTGTTTGTGGTTCAGATATAATTTTCAATTGTGGTTAGTCAAATATTGAAGCAAAATCTTCTGATCTCCAAAGTGGGGACGAAGGAGAATGTGTGTTTCTTGTTTGAATCTGACCAGTTTTTCAGGAGTAGATATATGTTGTAGGGGGAAATGACACCAGATCTGATAACAGAATCACAAGTTTAAAACAATTAGAGATCTTAGTCTTTCACACAAACACTTTGTGTAAACAGCTCATGGGTTTCCAAACATGTTAATTCATATTTATTGTTAAAATATTCTGTGCCATCTCCATCAGGGAAGGCAAGATATCAACTCAAACAAAACTAATCTTAAATACCTGGATTTTATATGGAGCTATTTAAAGTTGGCTTTGTTTGAGTTGATATCTTGTCTTCCCTGATGAAGATGGTGCAGGATATTGCCATCCAAAGTGTGGACTGTTTTAACAATAAACATGAATTGACAGGACAAAGAAGGTTTAAAACAGTTGCATTTAAATCCATCGACTGAGAAATTCATCTTTTGCACTTGGCAATGATAGACAGATGTGTATAATATTTCCCTGATTGCAATAATAATAATAATAATAAGAAGAAGAAGAAGAAGAAGAAGAAGAAGAAGAAGAAAAAGAAGAAGAAGAAGAAAAAGAAAAAGAAAAAGAAAAAGAAGAAGAAGAAGAAGAAGAAGAAGAAGAAGAAGAAGAAGAAGAAGAAGAAGAAGAAGAAGAAGAAGAAGAAGAAGAAGAAGTTGTTCTAGGGCAGCATTGACACGGGAACAGTGATAAAAAGAGGTGCTTTCTGTCTGCCCTTTCTGCACACCCAATTGTTCCCCAGTTTTGGCTTTTTTCCTTGGCCTTCCGAATTCAGAAAGGAACATCAACATTGCAATTTTTGTGGTAGCAGGGAAGGGGTTACTTAACCCTTTCCCTGCTACCGGCTGATTATTTAATCCCATTTTGTGTGATTACCTTTTTGAAAGGGAAGGTATATGAAATATCTAGTTTGGTCCCAAATGTAAGTCAGAGATTCATGTGTGAATTCTCACTGTGCCCACTCTCTCTTGTCGTTTAAGTGATTCTTAAACATCGGATTAAGATAGCCAGTGTACCTCCACTTGGCCATAGATGCTCACTGAGGGTGACAACAGTAAACCAATCCTTGAATCTCACATACCTTCAAAACTCTATCAGGGTTGCCATGAGTTTGAAGCAGCCTGATGGCCCATAACAACAAAGGTCAGACTAGACATAACAGGGACACACAGTTTCTTCTCCTCTTTTGCTTCACTTATATTTTAAAAAGACACTTTGAGCCCATTTCTCACTGTAGTTGCCACTTACGTTTTTTCCTGACCAAAGTATACTTACTGGGGAAAAAAAGAATAGCTACACGGTGTTGGCTGAACAGCTTAGTGAGTTAAGTATCTAACTGTGAAGTCAAAGGGTTGGGAATTCAGTTTCCGCTGTGCATCCCAGAACAGCCAGCCTGTGTGGCCTTGAGCCAGCTGCACAATCCCAGGATGCTCCCAGAAGAAGGGAATGGTAAACCATTCTGAGTACTCTCTGAGTACTCTCTACCTAGAGACCCTGAAAAGTGTCACCATAAACCAGAGTTGACGATGGCACACAATTATTATTAGGTACACAGTGCCGTTTATGATTATAAGCAGTAAGAACTCCTGGTCTAGAAGCACCTTGGAGGAAAAGTACCTGAGACAGTGGAGATTCCTCTTGTCCGATACCTCTAGGATCCTGAGTCTTACAGTGGAAAATACTGTATTGAAATATCAGAGTTCTGTAGTTTTCAGTAGAGACGCATGGAACTATTCGCAATGACTTTGACGTTGCTGCCACCTAGTGATATTAGAATGAGAAGACCTACGTATAAAATGTGAATTGAAGAAAAGACTTCTGGCAAGGCATAAGTGACCTTTTAGTGGTACACTAATAGTGAACTCAGATGGATAACAGATATGCAAAGAAAATGGCAAGGAGTTGTTTCAGAAACTTAAAGGTTACCTTTATTGGAGCTTTTGTCAACGGGAACTAAATTGGCCGTCGTCAGTAAAACAGAAAGATTTTCCTGGATAAAAAAAAATTGCTCACAAGTTTGTCCTTTTGTTAATTGGAGAGGCAGATGCTAAGCAAAATCTTAGTTGCTCTCTGCCATTCATGATGTCTTGCCCTATGGGTCGGCTACCTTTGCTTGCGCTAAGGCTGATGATTAAAATAAATTGAAAGGAAAATAGCAGGTAGTTTCTCGGTTAGAGGGTTGCATTTGGTTTTGTTGTTTCCCTTCCGTGTCCCATTTTGTAGTCCAGAGTTAGAGAACAGCACAATTTCACTGTTTTGTATCTGCAGGATAGAGATGGGCACGACTTGATGGTTTTGCGATTCGTGCCGGTTTTTTAGCCGAACAGGTGTTTGGTGCTTCCCAGCCACACCCCCTCTGGCAGGCACCCACTCATAGGCAGCGCTCCAGCTTCTCTGCTGTGCCTCCTCTGGACACTGCCTCTGAATGGGTGTCCACCAGAGGAGGTTTGGCTGAGATGAGCTGTTTGGCTGACAAACAAACCAACCCATCTCCCCTGCAGCCTCATCTGCAAGATTTCAGTGGAATCCATATTTTCTTGATCTTATTATTGACAGAAGGAATGTGGCCCTGAAGGAAGAGTGTAGGATTGCAACTTTCGGCCAATTGCCTCTTCTTTCTGTGGTCTCTGGTGTTACTCCCTATGTGGGAGGTGATGGTATGGGCTTCCCAAAGAAAATGAAATTAGCTAAATTTGTCACCTTGTTACCTTGCTCTGCTGCCAACAGAGCTCCATAGAGCTCAAGTTTAGATCCCATCCATTGGCTTAAATCCTGTTGTGCAGTTGTGCAAAAGGTGTAACATTTAGCAGTGAACTGCCATAAGCTGAGAAATCTACATAGACATTATCCGCTGAATACTGACTCCTACCACTTGATTTGCAACTAGTAATACCTACAGAGATCATGCCTACAGAAACATCTTAACACAACAATTCACTGCTTAAAATTATGACTTTACATCACTGCACCAGTGGATTCTAGCCATTGTAGTTAAATGTCTGGTTTTTCATTTTATTTTCATTTCCATTGTAGTTTTTATTACTCAGTTTTCTGCCAAAGAGGACACAATATTAAAACAGCATTAAAAGTTTAAAAAAATAATAAAATTATTGCAATATTAAAAATCATTAAACTAGTATCATGTTTCAAAAACAACTGGTTAAAACACTGTACTGCAAGCTAAAACTGTGCTCACGACCTGAGGTTCAAATCCCAGGTAGCCGGCTCAAGGTTGACTCAGCCTTCCATCCTTCCGAGGTCGGTAAAATGAGTACCCAGCTTGCTGGGGGGGCAATGTGTAGCCTGTATAATTACAAAAATTTGTAAACCGCCCGGAGAGTGCTTGTAGCGCTATGGGGCGGTATATAAGTCCAATAAATAAAATAAATAAAAATAAATTATATAAACATTTTTAAAGTTTTTTAAAATGAAATCTTTTTTTAAAAAAAGCTTCTTAACCAGCCAACGTATTGAAGAAAGGCCTCTTTCAATACAGTGCTGCCCTGCATAGCGAGGTTAATCTGTTCCAGATTAACCTTCGCTATGGGGAAACATCGCTATACGGATAAAAAAAACCCATTGGGCCCAAATGGGCCCAAAACTCACAGTTCTGCGATGTTTCCCCATGTTCCAGTGGCCATTTTGGGTGTTCCGGCGGCCATTTTGGGTGTTCCGGCGGCCATTTTTGAACCGCCAGACAGCTGTTCCCCTTTGCAATGCGAAGAAACATTGGTATGCGATTAGCGATCGCAAAATCCGCATCGGTATGCGGATTCATCGTTAAACAGTGCACTCGTTATGTACTTGTTTTGAAACAATTCAACTATCTAGCTTTTGGTTCATTTATTCTTCTACACCTTTCTGTGGTCTGTTAATATCTGAGGCCCATCTTTCTGTTTTTATAGGCTCCTAGGTTTCTCTTGCTATCCTGCTCCATAGGAAGCTCTAGCCACTGTGAGATTTGTTTAGATTTGCCATCTTTCTTAATCTCTCTGAGACGTCAACAGCAGTCTGACTACCAGAGGCTTCACTGCCACTGTGCCATTTGTTGAGTGCATGGGATTCATTGGTTTAGGTATCTAGCTGCTGAGCCAGAAGTTGGAGTTCACTTCACCACTGTATATCCCTGTGTGGCCTTGGGCAATCTGCATTGCTTGAGGAAAGCCCCAGAAGAAGGGAATGGTGAACCACCGGAGTCCAGATATAGAAAACCCTGAAAAGGGTCACTGTAAGTCAAAACTGATGGTACACAATTATTATTACTATTATTATTGGATGTACCAATAAACCATAATCTCTGTTTCTCCCTTTTGGCTCCATAAAGTGTGCAATGGATGTTTTTGATACTTTATTTTGAATCATATTTTTTAATTTCTTTCTTTCTTTTTGTTTTTTCTCCATTTCAGCTTTTGGCATTTCTTCAGGGCTTATTTACATTTTACCATGAGGGATACGAGCTGGCCCAGGAGTTTGCACCGTACAAGCAACAGCTACAATTCAATCTGCAGAACGTAAGACTGAACTGCATTTACTACTTACTTCTTACACAGCTTGACTTCAGTTATGACTGAAGCAACAATTGGCAGTGCATTGTGATGCTAAATTCTCTAGCACACAAGTCAACTAATCTCATACATAAATGCAAGAAACTATGTGTTGCTTAGTCATGTTGAGTTTCATCCTTCTGTTGGGAAATCCAGTTATTGATCGTGCGTGCCTCTCAGCTTTAAATGAGTACAACATGCTCTGCCCCCAGTTTAGAAATATCATTCTGTTCTAGATGTCTAGTGAGTTAAAGGGAGTAAAGCAAAACAGGCATAAAGCCTGCCTTGAATACAGAATTGGAAGAATGGGCTGACACTTCTGATTTGTGTCTAGACAAGACTGTATGGAGTCTTTCCTAAAATCAAAGCTCTAAATTATCCATGAAGCTGTGTAAGCTACCAAGCCCCTACCTATCTGCTTACAGAAACCCTATCCAGCTCACTTTGGGGGAATCCTTCACCAGTAGACATTGCCTACACTCGTATCCCATTGGTTGTTTAAAAAGGCATAATCTAAAAATCAATAAACAAGTGACAGATGAACTTATCAAACCATATGTCCAATACCACATTCTGATGTGTGGTTCCTTCTCACTGAATTTACATCCTTACGTTACATTAACAACTGGTGCGCCATACTGTGTCTCCATCCCTACAGTCGTGCCCTGCTTAATGATAATCCGATATAACGATGAATCCACTTCACGACGATGTTTGCAATCACAAAATGATGTTTTAATTGTGTTTTTTCGCTTTGCGACGATTGGTTCCCTGCTTCGGGAACCGATTCTTCACATTACGATGATCAAAACAGCTGATTGTCGGGTTTTCAAAATGGCCACCGGCTGCTCAAAATGGGTCCCCGCTGTTTTTAGGAGGCATTTTTCACTTAACAGGCACCCGAAAATGGCCGCCGTAGAGAGGATCTTCGCTGGACAAGCAGGTATTCAGCCCATTGGAATGCATTGAACGGTTTTCAATGCATTTCAGTGGGCTTTTTTATTTCGCTTGACGACGTTTTCGCTCTATAGCGATTTTGCTGGAACAAATTAATGTCGTCAAGTGAGGCACCACTGTATTGGAATGGTCCTTTTGTTCAACTTCACCCTCTAAGCTTGAGATGAGTATCTGTGGCTTCCACATCTTTTGGGGTGGAAACATCCATCCCTCCTAAGCCAGTGATGTGAAATTAAAGCTCATCCTTGCTCTAGACCAAATTACACTATTGCACAACAAAGAAAGTAAGAAAAGTGGGGGCGGCTGCTCTTTTGGGGGGGGCAATGCCAACACACACAGACTGGGCAGGGTTGCAGGCGGCAACATCAGTAGGGAAGAACAGCAGGGCTTAGGGCTCTGGGGCTGAACAATGGATCTCTTCTGCTGGAATGCTAGCCTTTTAAGGCACCTTGCAGTATCAAGTTCAGTGTTAGACTGCCCTGACCTCAGGTAAGGAATAGTACGATCCATTTTCAAAAACGTTAAGAAATTTCATCGTTTAAGCAACCCGGTTGCTTCGATGTGATCTGTGTGGAGAATTTTGAAGTCTTTCTGTAAACTGGGCCGACAGGTAACAAGAGTTTGAACATGGCTTAGAAGTTTAGGGTCCATTTAAAAACAAATGCCTTCCAGGATGATGCAGAAGTGTGGCAAAGGAATTCCGTCTTATATCCAGATTACGTACTTGGTAGGATTTTTGTCTTTCTCTGTTAAGCTTCCACACAGAAATTTGAATCTTTAATAAACGAATCACACACCTGCAGGAAAGCGTGCAGATTACCTCTACAGAGAGATGTCTTAATTGGCTTGCTTCCAAATGCTTGAGGCTTTCCTTAGATACTCCTGTTAGGTTTATCAGATAATACTTGCGTAGACATGAGCCTTTTTCCTGTGACATAACCTCATTCTAGTAAGGCGATGTTTGAAAAGCTCAGTGCTGTGCAGATAGGGCCAATTTTCAGAGCCCTTCCGAGTCAGGGAAAGCAAAGTGTGCTGCTTATATTGTGCCGTCCAGCGCTTAAAGCACTCTCTGGGTGGTTTACAGTTTAGTTATGTGAGCTACACATTGCAAAGGGGCAAAAGATGCAGTTGGCCCTTCACAGAGTGCTCCGCTATTCCATTTTACCTCAGTGTCATGGAGGTAGGTCATGTGCCGCTAGTTAGTAACATAAGAAAGGGGCCAGAAAATATGGAGTTCTTTTTAGAAGTTAATGGGCTGTTCTCAGAGACTTGAAAATGCTAGAACAGAAGTGTAGTGGCCAGTTGAGACAAACCTTTGGGAAATACCCGGAGTAGTATCTGACCTTTGGAAATCAACTTGCATCTTTTTCTTGCTTCAGAAATGTAATAAATAATGCTTCTGGTGTGATATGGAAGCAAAGAAAATAGTAGACGCTGGCGTTGTAACTAAACTATAGATTTGAAAGGCACCAGAGGTCACTGTTGCTTTATTACATAGGAAATATCTTCTTTTTATTGCTAGTGACTGTGAGAAGCTGACTCATTTAGTTCTTGTTGCCTACATGAGAGGGCCTTTCCTCTCATGCTTTTAGTCGTTACCACACACTAATGAAACATAACACGTCCAGTTGTACCATTGTAATTATTCAGTCTTATTGCGGATCATCTCTGAACTTGCTGTTGAAATTTTACATGTAAGAAAAGGAAGAAAGTGGTGTTTATAAATACTGTGTAGTTCCAGAAAGGATTATGAGATTTTAAGCAGGTATATCCAAATGTGCCGTGCTTTTTGGCAAATTCACCACATGTTCCTTCCAGGACGGAAAGTCTTGATTATTATATCATGTCCCTCGGCAAGTGTTAGGTGTTCTCACAGTATCTGTATCTCTTGCAGTAACTTGATCCTCTTGTGTCTGGCTTGTAATCTAATCAATTCCAACAATATCCAGTGTGATCTACAATAGTAATAGGATAAGGTGCTGCAGTCCTGTGTGTGTTTACCAAAAAGTAAGTCCCAGGGAGTTCATTCAGTGGCAAGAGCATATACTGTTGCTGTCTTAGTCTATAGTGGGGTAAATAACATCAGTTAGTCTGGGTACTGTGTTCCCACCTGACTATCATTAGGTACAGGATTACATGGAGAAGATGTTGCAAATTTACACAGTTCAAGGATAACCCCACTGTAGTTTCTCTGATTGTAGAAACACATTGTTATGTGGATATGTGTTACCTCAAAGTAGTTCCAGAGCGGGTGCCCTCCAGACATATCGGAGTAGAAGTCCCATTGATGTAATCACTGAGTATCATGCAACTTGTAGCTTAACATATCTGGAGGCCCAAGTTGGAAAAGGTTCACTGAAGTAAGTTGAATAGAAGCAAAGCCAACTCTTGACTCTGAGCAAATGTTCCATGTATTCTGGAGCAGAAAGTAGACCCAGTGGTTTTGCTTTCTATCGCTACGGTTAGACATGTAATTGCCTGTCCATTTTAGACTCTTCTTGGTCAGACACATCATTCCTCACTATAGATATGGAATGTATCCAGAAGAGTGTGATGAGGAAGATAAAAAAAAATCGAGACCAAGCTCTATAAAGAATGGCTGAGGGGGACTGGCTATGTTTAGCCTGGAGAAGACTGAGGGAGGGTAAGATTGTCGTTGTTTAGTTGTGTCCGACTCTTTGTGACCCCATGGACCAGCACACACCAGGCCTTCCTGTCTTCCACTGCCTCCTGGAGTTGTGTCAAGTTCATATTGGTTGCTTCGACGACACTGTCCAACCATCTCATCCTCTGTCATCCCCTTCTCCTCTTGCCTTCACACTTTCCCAACATCAAGGTCTTTTCCAGGGAGTCTTCTCTTCTCATGAGATGGCCAAAGTACTGGAGCCTCAGCTTCAGGATCTGTCCTTCCAGTGAGCACTCAGGGTTGATTTCCTTTAGAATGGATAGGTTTGTTCTCCTTGCAGTCCAGGGGACTCTCAAGAGCCTCTTCCAGCACCACAATTAAAAGGCATCAATTCTTTGCAGGTCAGCCTTCTTTATGGTCCAGCTCTCACTTCCATACATCACTACTGGAAAAACCATAGCTTTGACTATTCAGACTTTTGTTGGCAAGGTGATATTTCTGCTTTTTAAGATGCTGTCAAGGTTTGTCATCAAATATCTGATGCCCTAGCACACTGGTTCTTAACCTTGGGTTACTCAGGAGTTTTGGACTGCAACTCCGAGAAGCCTTCACCACCAACTGTGCTGGCTGGGGTTTCTGGGAGCTGCAGTTCAAAAACATCCGAGTAACAAAGGTTAAGAACCACTGCCCTAGCATATAGCAGTTTGAGTGACTTTGTTTTCTGTAGGATAGAACTTGAGGTGATGGATTCAGATAATGAGAGGGAGATTTCACCTAAACATTAGGAAGAAACTAAGAGTAAGAGCTATTTGAAATAGAATGGACTTCCTTAGAGGGTGATGGAGTCTCCTGCACTGGAGGTTTTTAAACCATTAAATGGCGATCTGTCAGGGATGCTTTAGCTGGGGCTTTTCTGATTTGGCAGCGGGGCTAGTCTCAGTGATTCCCAGGGTCACTTCCACCTCTACAGTTGTGCGAGTAGTGTGAATAGTGGCCATGATAATGGCAGACCAATTTGCATTGAATTTGTTTGTGCTTTTCATTTTTCATGCTGCCTCTTCAAGTCTGAAAACCTTTTAATCTTTTTGTACTTTGTCGATGGATGAAATTTGCAGAAGCAGCATGGCATAAGAACAGGCATATTATTATTATTATTATTGTTGTTGTTGTTGTTGTTGTTGTTGTTGTTGTTGTTGTTGTTGTTATTTTTGTTGTTGTTGTTTTATTTTTTATTAGTAGTAGTAGTATAAAATGATGATGATGATGATGATGATGATGATGATGATGATGATGATGATGATGATGATGATGATGATGATGATGATGATGATTTGATTTATGCTGCCCATTTCGCAGCCGGGGCCACTCTTGGAGATAATGCTTTTGCTCTATATTAGCATTTGTGTTCAAGAAACTTATATTTATTTTGTTTGTTTGTTTGGCCTCTTGTTTAACACCTGGCTAACAGCAATAAATATACAAAATGACAACTTAGCACATATATTATAATCTTACGGCCTTAAAATCAGGGTGCTTTTGTACCAGAAAAAGTTTCTCATTTAATGTAATTGAGAAGTAATATACTAGTCACTGTTTAGGCTTTTATCATAGGCAATAATGCTGTTACACAGTTTTGAAGACATGCAGAGCCATTAACTGCTTTGCTTATTTTATTACTGAGCATTCGTGCTTCGGAGAACATTGTTAAGATTATTAATAGATTAACGTCTAGGGCCCTACAGACATCAAACAAGATGGTCCCATTAAATGGTTTGTTGGTGAGTGTTTTAACGAGACTGGTTTTGACAAGGAGCTTTGTATGCGAGGGGAATGACCATTTTACAGTCCAAGATTTTTGTTCGTTTGTTTGTTTAATATATACCCCGGTTTTCTCCTCAAGAAGACCCAAGGAGGCTTACAATATTAATGACAAACGATATAAAAACTGGAAAGAAAGGGGGAAAACAAATAAACAAAAAACTCTTAGGCACTGAGAAAAAAAACTTGCCTGAAGAGGTAGATCTTTGCCTGCCTGTGTAAAGATAGCAAAGAAGGGGCCAGCCTGACTTCTTGTGGGAGGGAGTTCCACAGCTTAGGAGCAGTGACAGAGAAGGCCCTATTTCAAGCCCTTATCAAATGTACGTCCGAGAGGGGCCGAACTGAGAGAAAGGCTTCCCCTGATTATTTTAAAACCTGGCCAGGCTCATGAAGCTAAATATGGGTTTTCAAGTAGTTTGGACTCAGGTTGTCTAGGGCTTTATAACTAATAACTACCTCTTTGAATTGTGTGCAGAAACAGACTGGCAGTTAGTGGAACTGTTGTAACAGGGGAATTATAAGATTGCTGTATCTGGCCCCTGTTAACAATCTGGCCCAAACACTTTCCAAAGGCAATCCCATATAGACCGCATTATGGTAGTCCAAAATGGGATGTAATGAAGACGTGTCTTACTCTTGCCATATCAGGTATCTCCAGAAAAGGGCAGCGCTGATGCAAATGCACTCTTGACCACCGCCAGGGCATCTTCTTAAAATATTCATGCTCCAATCTCGGTAGAGAAGTATGGAAGCATTGGGCAAATACATTGTTTTAATATCTGAAAGCCTGTTTATACATTCAGTAGAATCAAGTTGAAAATTTGTAGGAAGGAAGTGTGAGGCCAAATAGCATGGACAAATGCCATTATGCTAACTTAATTGTATATGAGATTGAGAATTAAGCAGATAATCCAAAGGCTAAATGAAGAGGATAGGGTTCAAGAAAATATATGGTAAAGTGTATAATCTAGTGGAGATTATAGCAGGCAGTTCCATGATAGCAAGGGAGAGTAGGCAAAGGTGATAGTAAGGGCAGACTACTTTAAAATAGCTTGAGGTGGTAATACTGGAGATAATCCCAGGTAAGTATATAATGGTAAATAAAGGCTAAATGATATACCGTATTTTTCCATGTATAAGATGCTCCCATATATAAGACGTCCCCCACTTTTCTAATCCAAAATTAAGAAATCTAAGTGGGGCTTAGCAAGTGTAGGGGGAAAGGGATCAAAGTGCTGCAGGATTGCCTTGATCCCTGCTTTCCCCTCCACTTGTTTTTCTTCTCTCCTCAGCTTACTTCCGTGTATATGACCCTCAATTTTTAGTCTAAAGATTTTAGACAAAAGTACAGTGGTGCCCCGCATAGCGATGATAATCGGTGCAGCAAAAATCGCTGCAAAGCGAGTTCATTGCTATGCGATTTTTAAAAGCCCATAGGAATGCATTGAAACCCCTTCAATGCGTTCCTATGGGCTTAAAACTCACCTTTAAGTGAAAATCCTCCATAGGGCCGCCATTTTTGCTGCCCGGTAAGTGAGGAATCTGGGCAAAAACACAGCAGGCGGCCATTTTTTACCTGGCGGCCATTTTGGAACCGCCAATCAGCTGTTGGAAAATCGTCGCTATGCGATGATCAGTATGCGAAACAGGGTACCGATCAGCGCAAAGCGATTTTTCCCTATCTAAATCATCGCAATGCGATCTCAAAAATGATCGCAAAAATTCGTCTCTATGCGGATTCGTCGTTAAATGGGCGCCCGTTAAGCGAGGCACCACTGTATAGTCTTATACACGGAAAATACGGTAATCTTAATCTTAGAACTGCAGAGCTGAAAGGTACCCTATGAATCACTGAGTCCAGCCCCTATCCAGGAGACACGGTGAGGAATTGAACTTTGAACCTTTGGCTCTGTAGCTAGATGCCTAATCTACTGACCTACGTGTAGTGGGACTATGAATAATTTTAAAAGTAAAGACAAGGCATTTATGTTGGACACCAAAAGAATGGAGATCAGTGGAGGAGTCTGTGGAAGGAATCAAGTGATTTTTCCACAGAGGTTTTAGACAGAAATGAGAGCGCCGAGGTGTACAAGAGGGAGAAGACCAGGGAGCAGACTGACAAAGTCAGAACAAGAGACATTAAGAGCATGTAGGAGAGTTTTAATGTGGCAGTTATAAAGCACTACCAGTAGACCAGGTCACTAAGTATCCTTAAGTTAGTTTGATCTGGATAGATTTGAGCACTGGGCTGAAAACAACAGAATTAAATTTAACAGGGTTAAGTACAAAGTACTGCATCTAGGAAACCAAACACACAGTTACAAGATGGGAGATACCTGGCTCAGCAATACTATGAGCAAGAAGGATCTTGGAGTTGTAGATCACAAGCTGAATATGAACCAACAGTGTGATGAGGATACAAAAAAGGCAAATACTATTTTACACTGCATTAACAGAAGTTTAGTCTCCAAATCCTGCGAGGTGCTAGTTCTCCTCTATTCAGCACTGGGTAGGCTTCACCTTGAGTATTATGTCCAGTTCTGGACACCACACTTCAAGAAGGATGCTAACAAACCGGAACAAGTTCAGAGGAGGGTGACAAGGATGATCAGGGCACTGGACACCAAACCTTATGGAGAAACACTGAAAGAATTGGGGTTGTTTTGCCTTGAGAAAAGAAGACTGAGAGTATATATAATACTTTTAAGATACTTGAAAGGCTGTAATTCAGAGGATGGGCAGGATCTGTTCTCGATCATCCCTGAGTGCAGGACATGAACTGTTGGGCTAAAGTTACAGGAAGTCAGATTTTAGTTGAATATCAGGAGAAACGTCCTAACTGTTAGAGTAGTACGACAGTGGAGCCATTTACCTCAAGAGGGGATGAGTGTTGCAACACTGGAGGCATTCAAGAGAAATTTAGACAATCACCTAACACATACCCTTTGATTTGTATTCCTGAATTGAGCTGGAGGTTGGGCTCAATGGCCTTATAGGCCCCTTCTGACATGCTTATTCTATGATTTCACTGATTGTTTTTATAATTTTAATACTTGGTTGGTTGGTTTTTTTAAGGAAAATTTGGAGACTTCATACATGAGTTATATATGTTGCTGTTGTCTCTTTTTACATCTTTTGTTTGGCTGTTGAACATTTTAGTTCTTCTAATGTGATGGTAATCCTTATGCACGCTGTCCTCCTATAGAATGGGGAGGCTCGCCTATGTCTGAATACACAACTAGTTTTCCACATGTACTTGCTCGTTTTTTCTCTCTTCCTACTGCTTGGAAACAACTGTTCATGGAATGCAAGCTTTCACCTTTCCAGCACCATATTTTGGCCCTTTAAATTTCAGTACACTGGGCCAAAACCCCAGTCACTTTGCCTTATTACAGCTGCACTGTAATAAGTGGCAAACCCTAGCTGATCACTCTGAATACAATACGAATGGAACTCCAACTCATCTTTTATTTTTCTCTGTCTTACTACATAGACTCGGAATAATTTTGAAAGTACCAGGCAGGAAGTAGAGCGACTAATGCAGAGAATGAAATCTGCTAGCCAGGATTACAGGCCACCGAGTCAGTGGACAATGGAAGGCTACCTCTATGTACAAGAGAAACGTGAGTAGTAAATACATCCACACAGAATTGCATACTTAGGAGCATAGCATAGGATGGTACCTCTTACAATGAAATAGTCATTTCCTGCCGTCTCCTTTCAACAAATGGCTATCTGTTTATGATGTACATGAAGCTGGTAGTCTGTTTTTTACAGTCATCAGAGAGACTTTGTCAGCAGTAGTATCCAGGTCTAACCTACCTCCTTGTCCTCCATGGTAACAGGTTTGTTTTTTGCCAGCTCTTAAATTGATGGCTAGCTGCTATCATATTGTAACTGTTTTTGCTAGAAACTGCTATGGAGTTCAACACTTCCTAGTCAGGGAGTCATCATATGATTTCCTGTGATGTCAGTTGCATAAGGTATCATATGATGAAAGCATGAAAGTTGTTAGTTCTGGGGCATTTCGAAATGTTGTGCCTGTGTTATACAACCTTCCAAGAATCCAATTTTTGGGGTACGTCTTTTTCATTTTTTAAAAAAATTGTTTTATTTTATTTTTATTTTGGTTTGGCTTTGTGGCATTGTTGCAGCAGTTTAAAAAGATACACTGATTCTAGGTTGCTGGGTCTGAAGTTCTATGAAGCTTTAGCATCATGTATGCCGTCACAGTGTAGTTATGAGATGATGATGGCCTTCTTACTAAGCGCATTAGCTTTTTGTTCCTATGAAGAAGCAGGTAATCCAGAGAAGATTAGCTCCCTCCCCAGCCAGCCTCTCTCCCGGTCTCTCTGTGTTATTCTGAGACAATCATGCTTGCTTTAGTAACAGTGGCAGATAGCTTTGAGCAGCTTTTGTACCCTTTAATTGACTGATAATAATGAAATCTTAGGTGGGGAAAAATCCTGTCAGGTGGAAATTACCTTGGCCATTATTAACAGGGAGCAAGGACAGCATGAAAGGCTAGGCACATGCAGAGCTTCATTAAATAGCAAAAGGCCAACATGACATGCTCTCATTGAGGAGGAAAGGATTTGGTCATTTGTTTTGGCTAAAAGGGGAAATGACACAGACCCAATCAGGGCCTCAGAAATTAGAGCACCGCGGGTCCCCCCCCCCCCATCATAATCATATTCCTTTCGGCTGGCCAAAGCTGATTGTTGAGAATGTAGTCGCAAAAGTCTACATTAGAGATGGGGGTATTTGTATTCATATACAAATACGACTATCTCCGCACAGCTGGAGTTGATAAGCGTTCGCCCTGTGGGACCAGACTGTCCATTCACGCGTCCAGCAGTGGCGGTGGCTTCACTCATCCTTCAAATCACTCCTGGGGTCCCACTCTCTTCCTGTTCAGCTTAGCCAATCCATGCAAGGGGAAGGAGTACAAGTCTCCCTGCGCAGCTGGCAAGTTGCTAGCCGAGCAAGAAGAGAGTGAATCCAGGAGTGATTCGAAGGATGAGCGAGGCCACCACAGGATGCACGAGTGGATGGTGCGGCCCCAGGAGGTGGACCCTCATCAATTCCAGCTGCGCGGGGATATTCATATTTGAATACTCCCATCTCTAGTCTACAGTATAATTTCGTCATTCGGAATAGCAATAACGGCCACAGTTACCGCACTGACAGAACTGACAAAGCTGGCACAAAAGTCATGATGATATTCGCCAGTAGTTTATTCTCTTCAGCATAAGACTAACCATTACTTTGAAGGTTGGGGTGATTGGTCTATTGGCCTGCTACTGTTTAAATGTCAGGAGTTATGAGAAGAAATCCACTCTTCAACATTTTAGTCTCTGTGTGAGTGAATACTTCATGAGTAATGCCAAACACTAGATAATGGGGTTAGTGCTAGCTTCACTCTTGTTGTTATGTTTTATATTTGCATTTTATAAATATGTTCAATGTGGTCTTCTATGCAAAGGTAATGACTCACCTTCGTTTTAAAATGATCAGATCCTGAGCGGAATAAAAGAGTTTTCAACATGTACTTAAACTGCTTACCTATTTTGCCGTTACTATCATTGTTCAGAAGGATTTTGTTCTAATAAACAGAATAAACATATATATATTGGGTTTTTTTCCCCATTTTGTTTTCTTTTCAGGACCTCTAGGGTTCACTTGGATAAAGCATTACTGCACTTATGACAAGGGATCAAAAACATTCACGATGAGCCTCGCTGAAGCAAAATCTGGAGGGAAAGTAGTAAGTATTACCCAGCCCAGAAATTTCCTCCTTTGCCTGCGAGTTCCCTGAAAAAAGTTAATTGTTACTGTTTGCCATTCTAAAGCCTTTCTGTCTTCGCCATTGTAAGGCTTTTGCATTACTGTTTGTCGATCTAAGTCTGGCAGGAAAAGCTACTGTGACTTTTAATTTCAAGTTACGGACCATGTACCTTTCAAAAAAGAATTTGGTGTATCCAAACTAGTGGTTGTGGTTTGTTTGTTTTCTTTTTTAAAAAAATATAGTTTACATTTCTCTCATTCAGATGGAAACTAGACACATTCTATAAACCTCTATCTTTTGATCTTGACTAGAAATCTACATCTTTTCTCACAGAAATTTCCTGCTGAGAATAGTGCCCCCTACTGTGCACAACCCTGCACCTAATGATTATCCCTCAGATCCCTTTAGTTGCCACTGAGGAAACTCCTAGGAACATTTGATAGACCTATTTTTATCTTTTCATTTATATGTCATTTTTGTCATCTCTTTCATTATGTTCTTTCCTCCTTTGCCTGCGAGTTCCCTGAAAAAAGTTAATTGTTACTGTTTGTCATTCTAAAGCCTTTCTGTCTTCACCATTGTAAGACTTTTCCATTACTGTTTGTCGATCTAAGGCCTTCTGCCCTTCATCCTTGTAAGGTATTCCTGCATTCTATGATCCTGGTGGGTCCATCTAACAAGTGCATTTCATGCAGCAACAAAATAGCTTAATAGCTAATAGCTGGTTGCCTTTACAGATGTTTGGGTTAGCATAAGATCTCTACTCTGTCTCATGCAGCAACATGGAATTGCTTGGGATACTTTGTAAGAAAGAGACAAGGAGAGGTGTAACCAAGTGTTTTACATGCATATGTATGTAAAGGGCTGCAATGCTTCTGATTAACGAGTTAGACCATTGATTCCCACCCAACCTTGTTCCCCAGATGTTCTTGGACCAAAATTCGCAGAAGCCTTCACCACTCATGCTGGCCAGGATTTCTAAGAGTTGTACTCTAAGAACATCTGGAGACCCAAGGGTGGGAATCACTGAGTTGGACTAATGTCTACAAAAAACAGCAGATTGCAAATCCAACTTTAAAAGAGGTATCCTTCTCCCTGTTCATGGAGAAATCAAATTCTTGTTCTGAGATACTGCTATGATGAACATGTGCATCTAAAAACAAAGAAAATATTCATCCGGCTTCACAGTATTTTCACCCGCATGGAAATTCGACTGAGTGAAACTCACATGATTAATTAACTAAGTTTTCTTTTAATTTGATGTCAGTTCTATATGGATATACAGCTAATAATCTAATGAGTTGTTATTTCATTTTCACTCTTCCTGATATTTTTTAGAATGGCCTCGTTCCAAGCACACCAGAAGTGTTCAAGTTGAAGTCCTGTATCCGACGCAAGACAGATTCCATTGACAAGCGCTTCTGTTTTGATATTGAAGTCGTTGAAAGGTTTGAGACTTTTAATTTTTTATATCGTTATTGTCTGAAAATTTCACAGTACCAAGAGTAGACGGACGACCTATCTAAAATTCATATATTTGCAGAAATATAGAAATGTTTGCATATATCCCTTTTAACTCACCATGGTTTCCACAATTTGGCTCCTAAGTAAAAACAACAACAAAATGAATGTATCTGCTAATAAATCAGCATATAGTTGAAATAAGACTGTGCATTAATCCAATATGCACTGTTCGTATGCTTCTCTGGCAGCCGCAGGTACAGTAAAGAACAAAGTGCACCATGGTTTCCTACTGTTAAATTTACTGTTCTGGCTTAAAATGTTAAAATAAAGAAGAGATGACAAAACTTAAAAGAACGGAAAAATTAAACTGTTGGTACCTTATATGAAAGATTTCTTGCTATTGAAGCCTGTTGATCCTATTAAAGGCAATGAGTGCATAATTCATCTATGGGACACTGGAGAAGGTGTCTCAGTGAGGTCACTGGGCTTCTATCCCTTGGCATCCATTCTTGGTGGCATTTTGCTTTTCTGCAATGTGAAGTGAGGGATTTCCATTGAGATAGCGTTTTGGCATTGTATTCACCAATTTTCTTTATGCCTTCTAATTATTATTACATACACTGTAAGTATTGAGTGTGCATATGTGTGCAGATGAATGTCTGCCTTCTTGTAAGTATGACCCCCCCCATCTATGGGATCAGTATCCACTGATCCATTAATCTGCTGCCTGAAATACTAAATCAAACCTCCCACAAAGACAGAGACCTTGCAATGGATGGTGTTTGATGTTTCCATGTTTTTCGGCATCCACAGGGGGCTTGGAACTGAACCCCTGCAGAGACCACAGTTCGATTGCTTAGGTTGGAATTTCACTTTAGGACATTAGGGTTTGTTTTCCTCCTAACACCTTCATTTCTTTTTTCTTGTTTTTTATGGGCTGAAGGTGGTAATTAATTCTGCCATAAAGAATTCTGAGAGCTCTATGTAATCTCCGCCCCCTTTACAGCTATTTGCATTTCTTCTTCGTGGCCTCTGTGAATCACGCTGTTGGTGATCTGCGAATGCGCAGAGCCTTTTTGGAATATTCTAGAGCTTCTGCTGTAGCAAAAAGATACATTCGCGCAGACCCCTCCCCCCTGGTATATGTACCTTGGCACCAAAGCTCTCCCTTCAGTTTCTTTTCAACCGCCATGTTGAGAGCCTTGATCGATAGTTTCTGTGGGTTTTTTCTGAAATGAAAGAATGGAATTTACTTAACCTTTATTATTTAAACATGTCTTTCTTTACCAATCCCTATTATTATTTTCCAAATCAAGTACGCTCTGGCCTTAGGAATGCCCCCCCCACTCTGTTTTTCTTCCCAGTTCATGGCCTCTTCAGGCCCATTCAAATGCTGCCTAGTCTGTGACAACAAAATCCCACTCTCTGATGGCCACACTAAATGCCTTTTTTGCCTCAGTGAGGCTCATCAAACTCCCTCGTGCCCTCACTGTAAAAACTTTAAGCACAGAGTTCTCCGCAATCACCTTTCTAGGCTCAAACCTCTGCTTTGGGAGCAATTGCTTCAACCCGCTAAATTCATAGACCAATCTTCTTGTAAATCGATATCCCACGCAAAAGCCGTGGATTGAGCTGATTCCGAGCTGGCAAAACATCGTCCCTCAGCTACTCTATCTCATTCTGAACACCGAGAACCTGTTGT